TCGTAGGTGAGAATGCTCATTTACTAAATGTATCGTAATTCCAATTGTAAAGTATATATATATATATATATATATATATATATATATGAATGGTAATTTTAAAGTGATAGTGAAGTGATAGTTTTAGCTCTAGTTCGCCCTATCGAGTACTTCTTATAGATATCCGTTATGAAACAAGTAGAAGTTGGTTATTCTTTTAAGAATATACCATTACCAGTTAGGCCTTTTTTATGAATTAGTCCTACCGAAGAAGATAGAATCCTTCATAGCTAATGAGATGGAAAGCCTACTTCTTCCCTAATAATAACCAGAATTGCCACCAAAAAAACTACTGAATCATATGAATTTAAAACCTATGCACACTCACCCCATATTAAAGAATTAGATTCTTGGTAGGTACCGACATAAGAAAAGCTGTTCATTAGAGTAACTTGTAGGTTTTCTTTGTCACGTGGTCATGGTTTTATTTGGTTTATCAATAAATATTGTTCCATTATTTGCTTTTTTAGCCATTTTTACCCTGAAGATCCGTTTAGGTGAAACCTAGGTAGGTTAGCCTGGTTCATTAGGATTATTTTAGTTATATATATATATATATATATATATATCGCAAGAAAAAAGTAATATGGGTTATTTCTTAACGGCATTATGAAAATAATATAAGAAATAAGAGATGATAACTCGCATCAAACAAACAGACCAACCGGTTTCGTTCCCAAGCTCATCAGGGTCCAACTGGGAACTATTTATCAATCTTACAGAATAAATAAGTCAAGCATACAACCTACATACAATTAAAACTAAAATGAAAGTTTAATGGTATGGAGGAGGACAAGGAATAAAAACGAACAAATAATTTTTCCCCCTTTTAGAAACTTATACACATATATATATTTTCCTTCTTTTTGTTTCTTAAACTGTGGGCCCTTACACAAAAAAAAGTGATGAAGGAAGATGAAAAAAAAAAAAAAAAAAAAATATAATTATATATGTATATAAACGGATATCCTAATGAAAAAAATTTTGATATGAACACTAGATAAAAATAATATGAAGTCAAGGAAAAACAATCTTGTTGTTTTTACAAAGACGGCTCCCTGGACCGAATATAAAACCATTCAAATTGCCTTCAAATGGAATAAAGAGCTGCGGCTTGGACAGTAACAGTGAACCAATTCATGACTAAAGTTCTTCGCTCAATTCCTGCTATTTTATTAGGTGCTCCCTAATCTTCTGAACCGGAAGGATAACCAACTCCCCCATCATTAGCTTCCGGATTTATTTTTCGTAATGGGACATGCTAGCTAATCCTACAGTCTAACGCTGGAAGTCCTTCCTATGTAATTGGATACCACATGTCCCATTTAAAAAAATAAATCACCGAAGAAACATGATGGAAGAGTATCCTTAACATAGAAGTTCAGAGGCAGACCGAGAGCACCTAAAATGAGCAATTAATTGAGCTGAAGAAAAAACAGTCATGAACGGCTGACGAGATACGCTTAGCCAACAGCTCCATTTGAAGGCACCAATAAATTTATATTAGATAAACAGGGCACTTCTGTAAACAAATAAGATTGTTTTCCTTGGAAATTGTTGATTTTATCTAGTGTTCATATCAAAAATTTTTCATTAGGATATCCATTACGTGAAATTATATATTTTTTTTTTTTTTTTTTCCTTCCTTCACTTGTTTTTTTTGTGTAATTTTGCACAGTTTAAGAAAAAAAATCAGGAAAATATATATATGTAGGGTTATAATAAAAATAGGGGAAAAATTATTTGTTCTTTTATTCCTTGTCCCTCCTCCATACCATTAATCTTTCATTTTAGTTTTAATTGTAACGTCGGTTTCCGCTTGACTTATTTATTCTGTAAGATTGATAAATAGTTCCGAGTTGACCCTGATGAGCTTGGGAACGAAACCTGTTGGTCTGTTTGTTTGGAGTTATCATTTTATTTATTATATTATTTTAATGCCGTTAAGAAATAACCCATATTCTTTTTTTTTGCGATATTACAATTTTGTACCTCAAATAATTTATTTAAATATATATATATATATATATATATACAGTACATACGTAATTACACGTGTAATTACACACAAATATTTTTATGTGTGCGTACTATATATGCATCGTATGTATTAACACGTACTCACATTCATACTCAAACAGATTCATTAGAAAAAAATTACTGTTAATAACTCAATCTCGAATTGTCTCCTCCCACCCCCCAAAAATGAATTGTCCCAAATTGGGAACCATGGCGCTGGATGGTACTGCCGTAGTTTCAATAGTATGTAGGTTTTTGGAGCTCCACACCTAATCGATTTGGGATTCGGAAATGTTTTTTTTCTCTTACGCCTGTTTGAATGTTGAAGTGATGAAACTGAAATACATACATCATTCACCCGACTCCTGCTAGGTTTTGCGACTTGTCATTCCAGGAACACCTCTACCTTACGAGGTCCCTTGTTAGTATAAGTAGCGATACCGGCTTGCTAGGCCTGTTGCATAGCTTAGAGCACACGGAATTTCCCAGTGGTCACTTGACCAGGGTCAACGTTGCTTAATTTCGGTCATCGGAGGGTAAAAGTTGTTTCAACGCGATATGGCCGTATATATAAATACATTATATAAATGTGTATGTTCACATTTATTCATAATTTCTTGTTTAAATGCAAGCAAAAATGATGACTTACCTTTATTCATTTATTTGGAATTCTAGCATAAATATTCCGTAGTAATAAGTACTGTACTTACCTGAAATGAAACAAAGAGATGAATATAATTCCAAATAAATAGACAATTCCTTTTATCACATTTTTCAATGTATTACTCTAGTAAAATAATTTACATTACATTTCGATAGTAAAATTATTAGCAGTCCATTTGTATTATACATATAATTGTTAAATATAATGTAATTGAAATAAATTTCATAAATGAATTCTTTTTGATGTTTGGGCAAGGAATGTTAAATAATAGTTTCACACTATTATTTTTTAGTGGCAGTATATTTTGGCTTAGACCTTCTGAGGCTGACCTTTGAGGTCAGATGGTAGACAAAACATAGAAAGTCGATTTTGATTGGCTGAGCCGAATGTGGGAATGAGTTAGAGATTAAGGTTTTTCGGGAGTTGCTGTTTGGACGTCAGACTAACTAGACGTGTTAGGTTACGCTTGTGCACCCCCAAACCCAATGGAGAAGGGTTTTTCGAGAGCTGATTGTTAACGTCAAAGAATATGAACGTGTGAGATTTTGTGTTTGAAAGCGGCTCCCTAATATGGGGTGTAGTAACCTCCACTTGAGAAAATGTGCCCGTCGACATGGTTAATGAAATAGTTTAGTTAAATGTCCGCTTTGTTGATGCTTTACGTCTCTGAACCCAAAGAACATTTCGCGATACTGACTAAGAAAAGAAGAGGATTGAACTAAAACGACCAGCGATCACCTGCCAGACAAAATGAGACCACCCCAATCAATGAATGGTATACAACAATAATTATATCCAGTCAATAACACTTGCAATAATTTCCAATCACTACAAATATCTGTTTCCCTAGTGGTAATAATAATAATAGTAATAATAATAATTATTATTATTATTATTATTCTCGTATCTCGTTAGAACGATCATAACTCTCCACAACTTCGTAGTTCTAAGCAATGCTTGTCTCCTGCTTATCATTCCTAGTTCGTGTTTTGCTTTACAGAAACTCGTTAAGATGCTTACTCCTTACTTTCCTTTGTCCATTCAGTTTGTTCAGTGTGTATCAAATTTTCAAAGCCTTCTTTCCTCGTTATTTGTGCCAGAAATTCCAACTGTCTGTTTTTGATTCTATAGTATTTCTATAGTAAGATCATCTACAATATATATATATATATATATATATATATATATATATATATATATATAGTAACCCACTGCTACCAAATAACTATATTCTGTCAGTAATGCTTAATTAATAACCAATAAAAATTCATTTTTTTTTATTTCTAGTCCGCAACGGATTGAATAACAAAATTTTCTCATGCAAATTTTTGGTAAAAAATGACAACATTTGATGCTTAATCATCAAACATCTTCACTAAACAATCCAAAAAAATTACTTTGTTACTTCGGATATTGCTAATGAGTTCTGGACCTACGAAGGTAAAATTCATGCCAATCGTTATCGGATTGAATTTGATAGTCATAAACAAGGAAAACTAGTTCGGTTGTGTTAGTGAATTTTAAGGCAACGGTAAAGTACCAGGGACTCGCTCGGAAATAAAAATAATCATGTTGAAGCAGGAATAACTGTTCGATTGATTGGGGCCTGCGATAAAACTGAGAAATGTGTTGAGCCTTTTGGGAAAATTCGAGCCTCACTGGTAAAGATATTTCGTGTAAACCCGGAAAAACACGCAATAATGTTAATAATGATGAGAATAAGAAAGAAAGAAGAAAGAAAGAAAGAAAGAAAGAAAAAATTAGGATAAGAAGAAGAAAGAAAGAGAAAAGAAAAGAAAATAAGAAGAATAAGAAGAAAGTAGGAAAGAAAAAAGGAAAGGAAAGAAAGAAGCAGGAACAGAAGGAGAAGAAAGAAAGATCGAAAGAAAGAAGGAAAAGAAGAACAAACAAGAAAAATAGTAAAAGAAGAAGAAAGACGAAAGTAGGAAAGAAAAAAAAAACAGGAAAAGAAAGAAAGGAAAGAAAGAAGCAGGAAAAGAAGAAAGAAAAATCGAAAGAAGAAACAAAAAGGGGAAAAGAGGAAAAATAAAGCACAAAAATGACCAAAAAGAAGAAAGTAGGAAAGAAAGAAAGAATTAGGAAAAGAAGGAAAGAACAAAAAAGAGAGAAAGAATTAGGAAAAGAAGGAAAGGAAAAAAGAAAGAAAGAATTAGGAAAAGAGAGAAAGGAAAAAAGAAAGAAAGAATTAGGAAAAGAAGGAAGGAAAAAAGAAAGAAAGAATTAGGAAAAGAGAGAAAGGAAAAAAAGAAAGAAAGAATTAGGAAAAGAGAGAAAGGAAAAAATTAATCAGGAAAAGAAGGATAAAGAGGGGAAAGAGAAAAATTATGGTCCGATGGGAGACGTAAAGGAGGAACAAGAGCAGATTAGCAATACTAAGAAAGAAAAGGAAGATTGGGTGACAGAGAGAAAGAGAGGGGAGGGAGGATGGCGAGGGAAATAGAAAAAAAAAGAAAAAAAGAGAAGAGATTAGAGATAGAGATGATCTCTTTCGGGTTCGTATCAGGCGGTCTTTCGGGTAAGACAGGGTCGGTGACACGATGGCCGTCTGTAAAAATGACAAAGTCAATAATGACGGAATGAATTGTGTCGAGAACACAATTGCGGTGAGGCAATCAAAACGATAGATAGCGCCGTGCAAGAGGTTGACAGATTCGATGAAATCGGGCGTGTTCCGCAATAGAAGGTTAATTATGAGAGATAGAATATTAGAAAGGGAATATATAAGGTTAAAATATGGCAAAATAAATGTTGACAGATATAGGTATATACATAAACACACACACAGGAGAGAGAGAGAGAGAGAGAGAGAGAGGCAGGAGACAAAGACAGAGATATGTGTGTGCGTGTGTGAATTTGAGTATGAACATGACATCGCATATATATATATATATATATATATATATATATATATATATATATATATATATATATATATATATATATATATATATATATATATATATTAAAAAAAGAGAAAACCGCAAACGTTTTTTTGGTTGTAATGTGTTTCTTTTTCTTATAAAATATTGTGATTTATTTTCCATAATTTTGCTATTTTGAGATTTCCACATATTATTAAAAATGTCTTTCTTAAACTGCCAGTTCAAGAAAGACATTTGGTTATATATGTGGAAATCTCCACCCTTTGCCTGATAACGGTCGCGAGACCGGAAACGCGTGTAGCAAAATTATGGAAAATAAATCATAATATATTTAAAAAAAAAAAAATCCACATTACAACCAAAAGCGTTTGCGGTAACTCTCTTCTTTTTAATATACACACTTTTCTCTCGTTGGAATTAGTATAACCTCCTCCTTTTATATATATACATATATATATATATATATATATGCAGACATATGTTTGCGCATAATGATATTTTATAATTTTATTTTTCCTTTTTGTATGGCAGTTGGTTTAGATAGGAAGATGTTGTTGCACCAGACTTTAGAGTTGGGTAGGACTGCTTAGTTTGAAATCAGCTATCGAAATCTTAGCTTTTTACCCAAATTCAAAATTTAACCGGAATTAAAAAATTATCGAACTGACAAAAAAGCGGGTCTTTCAAAATTCTGACTTTTGGTTATGTGGGGGTTAGATGGTAGCAAGAAATTTTCAGTACACCATATATATATATATATATATATATATATATATATATGATTTTGTATGAATAATTCATGTAATATAAATTGAACTGCACCACATATTTGATTTAAAAAGAACTGATCCGACGTGCAACTTCTGGGATAATAGCTTCGACATTATTTTATTTATTGAAGGATTTAATTCATGCCACATCGACTGAAAAAAAACTACTACAACAAAAGAATTCTCCAATTACCATATTAGTAAAATAATGAACTCTCTTTTAAATTTTCAAAAAATTCAACCTTAGCATTGCGACCACACGCTCCAGAATTTCTTACAGTTAACAATAACACATTTCTAAAAAACATATTTCGACTCATATCTAATCTTTCATGTCCCGTTATTACCTGGATGTATTAAAAAAAAAAAACAAATCAATTTCCATGCCTGATGATGTCTGTATGAACAGATGAAAGTACTAGCAAAAAAAGACCTTATACAAGTTGAATTTATTAAAAACAGGGACCACAACATTCATCTAGAGGTGCGTGGGTTAATGTAATTTTAATAAATTTGTTTGCAAATATGCATTGTCAAGTGTAGAAATATTGTTTTTATTGTTGCGTTGACGGAGTCAACCATTTTCTTTGGATTTCTCGATATAGTTGTGTACGTTGTCTTGGGAGAGTAGAAATTTAGTTAAGAAAGGAGACATTGGGAAAAAAACCTGGGCATAGATTAATATTTGGATAATATTCAATGGCGGCACTCTCGAGGATTTTCATTCTAAGTGAGTTATTTTCTTTTTTTATGAGTATAGCATTTTAAAAATCAAATTTGTGCTTGAATTTATTTCTATGTATGACTTGTGCATTAGTTGTTTTTTGTGAGGTCTCTTATGTGCTCATAGATGCGATTTTTTTTTTAGATTTCTACTTGTTTCTCCAATATATTGGGAGGAACAGTTTTAGCAATTTATTTTATAAATGCCTTCAGAAATATTATTACTATTAGTGTTTGAGGGTCTGAGTATATCCATAATGGTTTTGGAAGTGTTTGTGACTATTTGAAGATTATTTAGATGGGATAGATTTTTCTGGATATTGGACGTGACGTGGTCGATAGTATTATACATCTGTTTTCATGTAATTTATTGATATAAATTATGATATTATTTTTGTTTCGGTTGTATATTTTGTATGCCTTTCTCCTTGCGTTGTGGAGGAAATGATATGGTTATTGTAGGTTTTTGAGTGTGTTTTCTATGTATGTTACTTCTTTAGGTAAATATTGGGGGCTGCAGATTCTTAGTGCTCTCAGATAGAAACCAAAAATAATTCCAGATGTAATTTTAGAAGAGTACATTGAGTAGAAACTGATCAGGTCATTTCTGTTTTCAGTGAAATATAAAAGTGAACATTGAGGTCAACACTCAGAGGCGACAGACTGTTTCATGCTAAACGCAATCATCCGACCAATGTTCACTTTTATATTTAGATACGCTCTACCTCTGATATTGGGCACTTTATCTCATAAATATAGAATACCTTAAAACTATATTTCTTATATATATATATATATATATATATATATATATATATATATATATATATGTATGTGTGTGTGTGTGTGTGTGCGTATATATATATATATATATATATATATATATATATTCTGCCAGTGGGGAAACATTTTCCACACTATGGTTGGTTTAAACAAAAATGAAATAAAGAAATTAAAATGATAATAAAAACAAATAAAATGACAATAAAAACAAAAAAAAAGAATAAAATAAATATACAAAGAGATTATTATGTCTATTTATAATATATAATATTTATATATATATATATATATATATATATATATATATTATATAATATAATACTTATATATATATATATAATATTATATGACATTTTGCTTTCGTAAACCAAACAAACTGAGAAACAATACAATCGATAATAACATATGAACATGCTAAAGTTTTTGAATTAGTTAAATAGTCCGCGTATGAGCTCCGATAAAAAAAAAAAACATCAAACAAAATGAAAACCTCAAAAATAAGAACAACACAAAACAAAACAAAATCTGGTTTACAAATGTTGACTTTCAAATTGAACATTTCGCCATTAAGCGAGATAGAAGAATGGCAGTAACAGCCATTTTCTTTCTCCGCCTGGGCCTGTTCTTGTCAAAGCTCAATTCAGTAATTCTCTTTCTCTCTCCGAAATGTGCTAACCGAGACGTTGGAGAAAATGCCCGGATGATGCATCGCCACGTTTAAATCTATCGAGCCAGGCGATCAAATGAAATATTATATTCAATATGAAAACGACAAGCACGCCATGCACGCACGGACAAAGCGTTGAGACGTTAAACGACTGTGGTGGCCAAGTAGGGACACAGAATTCGTCGTAAAAGGTCGAAAAAGGCCGAAGACAAATTGTTGTGCGGTGAGAGGTTGCGATGAAACAGGCTTATTACACGACAACCCTTTCAGCAAAGATGGCGGATCTGGAGAACATAGGATTCATTCATGTTTTATGTCAGCATGACTAGAGAAGGTCGGGAAATACAGGCGGTATTGAAGAATGATTGGAGAAATACTAATGTCAAATATAAACCCTTTATGGGACAAGGGAATTCTAGTGTTTGGGATTTGACAGTTTTCCTGCCTCTTACTCAATAGAAGTGCATATATTGTGATCTCTAGCGATTTACAAGGAATTAAAAATTCTTTCGATCTTAAAATTTATGATTATGGCGGAGTGGATACAGGTTAGAAGGGTCAGTGAGTATGCGAATGAATGAGAGAGAGAGAGAGAGAGAGAGAGAGAGAGAGAGAAAGAAAGAAGTCAGATATGGGCAGAGGTAGAAAGGAAGGGACAATGCAAGAGACATATATATATATATATATATATATATATATATATATATGTATATATATATATATGTATGTAAGTGTCTGTGTATCCTCTTATTTTTTTTATTGTTTTCCAATTTTCGAATACGGTGTTGTGTGTGTAAGTGTGAGTGGGCGTGTGTGTGTGTAGAGAGAGAGAGAGAGAAATAGAGAGAATAAGAGAGAGAGAAAGAAAGAGACTGAAAAATAAGTAAATATCTTAATATAATCATGTCAGTGAAAGAACCATGAAAATGAGAAAAAGATAGATACATAAAAAAACAGACAAAAGAAGATATATATATATATATATATATATATATATATATAGAGAGAGAAAGATAGAGAGAAAAGAGGCACAGACAGACAGGGGGACATAAAGAAAAATCGAGAGAGATATAGAATTAATATAGAAAGGGAAGGATAGATAGAGAAAGAGGAAGGTTGAGAGAGAGAGAGAGAGAGAGAGAGAGACATGTAGACGTATATATATATATATATATATATATATATATATATATATATATGTGTGTGTGTGTGTGTGTGTGTGTGTGTGTGTGTATGTAGGGAGAGAGAGAGAGAGAGAGAGAGAGAGGCGAAAGAGATAGATAGATAGATGTAAAGGCAACGAGTGCTTGAGAGAGAGAGAGAGAGAGAGAGAGAGAGATAGGGAGTGACATGTAGACGTATACCTGATATATATATATATATATATATATGTAGAGAGAGAGAGAGAGAGAGAGAGAGAGAGAGAAATAGAGAGAGACGAGATAGATAGATTTATAGATATATGTAAAGGCAACGAGTCCTTGAGAGAAAGAGAGAGAGAGGAGAAAGAGATAGATAGATAGATAGATAGATAGATAGATGTAAAGGCAACGAGTGCTTGAGAGAAAGAGAGAGAGAGAGAGAGAGAGAGAGAGATAGGGAGTGACATGTAGACGTATACCCGATATATATATATATATATATATATGGAGAGAGAGAGAGAGAGAGAGAGAGAGTGAGAGAGAAAGAGAGAGAGACGAGATAGATAGATATATAGATTTATGTAAAGGCAACGAGTCCTTGAGAGAAAGAGAGAGAGAGGAGAAAGAGATAGATAGATAGATAGATAGATAGATAGATAGATAGATGTAAAGACAACGAGTTCTTGAGAGAAAGAGAGAGAGAAGAAAGAGATAGATAGATAGATAGATAGATAGATAGATAGATAGATAGATGTAAAGGCAACGAGTCCTTGAGAGAAAGAGAGAGAGAGAGAGAGAGAGAGATAAGAGAGATAGATAGATAGATAGATAGATAGATAGATAGATGTAAAGGCAACGAGTCCTTGAGAGAAAGAGAGAGAGAGAGAGGAGAAAGAGATAGATAGATAGATAGATGTAAAGGCAACGAGTCCTTGAGAGAGAGAGAGAGAGAGAGAGAGAGAGAGAGAGAGAGAGAGAAAAGGAGAAATAACTCCTAAAACAAGATAAAGATAGCTACGTGATATCCTTGGCAATATCTTAACCAACGAAATTGAGAGAAAGACAGTCAGATATGCGTCAGCAGATTGGTTGATTAGTTTTCTAGCAATGTCAAACTTTTGACGGTTATTTAAAGCCAGAAAATATTTTTAGATTCTAAGAATTTTTTTTTTTTGTGATAATAATGGTTTGGCTATACAAGTCTTAGTAATTATACCATAGCCGGATGGGTGAGGAGAAGACTTGGATTGGTCTCCCTCCCAGTGGAATTTGGGCGTAAGTGAATAAAACGAACTTCACTGGAATTAGAACACGGCTCTACAATTTCGAACCATTATCGATTACACCACCCACATACCCAAGCTTACAGTACCTGATATTCTGGCTTTAAATAACCTGCAAAATGTTAATAAGCTGTAACAAACAAATCAATCAATCGAAAAACCATTTGCTTGTCAGGGAGGTTACTCATTGTATTTTTCTTTCCCTCTTATTTTCAATATGACCTGTGAGTGTGAAATTCGCCACTCTTTCAGAAATTTCCTGTCTTTATTTTTAAGCATGATTGTCCTTTTGTTTCCTTTTTTTTTAAGTCCCTCCTTGCTCACATGTTTTGACCATGGTATTTTCAGCATGCTTTTGAAGAATCACGTTTCCATTGTGTCAAGTCTCCCCTTCATCTTTAAGGAAATTGTCCAGAATTTTCGGCCATATAGAAGAATTTATATTACATTGCAAATCACCATTCTTTTCTTTGTTTCTAATTTTTTTTGTGTGTTTTTTAATATTTGTTCTTTTTAGCATTTGGAATCATCATTCATTCTTCCAATATTCCCTCCGTATTTCAGTGTCATATTTTCCATCTTCTGTTTAAACTCTTCCAAATTCTATACTTGCTTGATTTCGGCATTTTCAATTTGTAGCTCAGACCTTAGCCCTTTTCTCTTGCTGACAAGCGTATTTTTCTAAGTCTTACATTTGATGCTTAGCACGTCATACGAAAGTTTCAATCTCGCATATACAGTGCTCTTCGATAAAAGTGACTCACCTGGTTTTTCTACTTAAAATTTTTTTTTCGCCTATTGTTTTTGGGGTTAAAATAATTTTTAATCTTACTAATATAAAGACCCCTTCCCGACCACCTAGTAAAAAAGTTTACTCACCCTAAGGTACTCTATTGATAATTATAATTTTGGATATAAATGAGATTTAGAGAAAAACTCTTTCCAAAAAAGTGACTCACTTATTTCCTGCAACTAGTAATCAATAGAAACATAACCGAACAGCTTTAAATAAAGAATAATATAGGTATAATTTATTTATAACAGGTAATATAGTTCGAAATATCTAATAATCTATGGATCCTCCTTTATTTTGAATAACCTTTTCAACCCTTTTTGGCATTGACTTGATTAGATTCTGGCAAATCTCATCTCCAAGCATTGAATTCCATTCGGATATGAAATTCACAATCAAATCCTCTTTGTTGATCAACTGCCTTCTCAAGAGCCCGTACTTTATAATGCTCCATAAGTTTTCTATGGGGTTGAGATCAGGAGATTGGGGCGCCCATAACTCTCACCTGCTTCTTATCAATTTTTGAAGAAAAAATATTACCAGCAATACATTTTTGAAGAAAAAATATTACCAGCAATATATTTTGGAAGAAAAAATATTACCAGCATTACATTTTTGAAAAAAAAATATTACCATTAATACATTTTTGAAAAAAATATTACTAACAGTAAAAATCTTGTCGGCATTAAATAACCCATTGAAATTGATATGCCGTAAACAAACCAAACCAAACCAAACCAAACCAAACCAAGCCAAACAGAAAAAGAATAAAAGAACTAAAGGCAAAAGATACAGACGAGTTTACGAAAGAGAAAAATAAAAGATAAGAAAGAAAATAAAGAAAAGAAACGAAAGCATAACGAATGTGAGACGACGAAAAAGAAAGTAATTTTAGTTCCGGCAAGAAAGGTAGAAGCGAAAAAAAAAAAAAGTAAGCAAGGGATACAAAAATTGGAGCAGTGGTTTATTGTCTTTAAGTGCATACATGCGTCAAATTATTCTGTATGTCACAAGGGATTGTTTTTTAATTCCGTTATTCTGTTTCCCTTCGGGCGGCAACCTTCCTTGCATTGCAAGTTAGTCGGTGACATCGCACACTATGAGGCCTGATCACGCTTCGTCTCCCTTCGTCTCACTCCGACAATATTCGTGTCACGTCGGCAGCCGAACCTTTGGGGAAAATCCGTGATGCGTTTGCTAAAATACACGCTGAGGATCGGGAGGCGACAAGGCGGAGGTCTGCACTGATAACATTGGCGTCTAAACATTGTCACACACACAAACGTACATACACATAGTAATCAAGTTACGAAACCTATGTAAATGCCTGTGTATACATCCGCAAAATCACACGCCATGCAGATATACAAACATATGCAGACACATACATACATACATACATACATACATACATACATACATACATACATTTGTACTTGCACATAAAAACATGAGATAGAAACACATACACACATATACACTGAGGTAAAGAAACAAACGTACACACAAATATACATACGTATAAACACAACTAACACAACCTGGAATAGTTTTTGTGCACATACACACATGCGTGTGTGAGAGAACCCCAAGTGGTCTAACAATATTTTTTACTAGTTGATCATTCAACACAACGCCTGAGAGCCACTCAATGTAGAGGATTGATGATTGTAGGGATCGGCGAAGAATTCACTAGGGTACTGATGTTTATTGAATTAACCAAGGCAACATGTAAATATTAAAACATCATCCAATCAATGAAAGTCAGAAACCAAGAGACATATGCTTGGTGTAGATTCAGAACGTGCCATTATTATTATCATTATTATTATTATTATTATTACACAAAGGGTTACAGGGTGTGGAAGAATTAGGAACAGAACCATTAATGATGAGTAGAAAGAGAAAAGAGTAATCAGGAGGATAATAGATAGCAATTGACATGGCATTTACATTTTTGCAGATTAAAGTTGACTGGAAATCATCGATCCGGAAGAGAGTTCCACAAACAAGAAGTACGAGAAAAGTAACTGTTAGCATAGAAAGTACGGCTACATCCTCCCAGCTCAACTGTAAATTGACGAGATATCGACGCCTGTATAGTGCTGTGCTTAAATGCAAAAACTCTAAGTACCATAGCAAGGAACTCGTTCGAACAATTACCATGAAAGTATTTACAGAAAATACATAGAGAGGTAACCTAACGGCGGTTGGAAAGCTGAGCCGTCAGATCAGGAACAATAATATTGCAGATTTTTCTTTGGCTTTTATCAAGGAACACAATATAAATAGCAAAGGCACCGGACCATATGTGGTAGCAATATTCTAAGCATGGACGAATGGCAGACATGGATGTGTAAGATAGATTCTGGAAAGAAAAATTGTCTCGCCTGACATAGTGAACCGACTATTTTTTTAGTAGTTGACCTAGCAATGGATTTAATATAGTCTTTCCACTTCCTGTCAACAGAAAACGCGAACCTGAGAAGGCGCAATGATTCACTTTCCTAGGGGACAGCATCAGCCATGTTGAGGGAAGACAGATGATTAATGAAGAGAAGTTTAGTTTTGGAAGCGTTAAAGGTACTGTTATACTGTTTTATGATAATATCAGGTTTGTTGGCTTTCATTTCCCCGCCAGTTTGAATTGGCATGTCCCAGAGGATAGTTACATCGTTATTTTGGGTAACTGGGTCTGGTTGGTGCTCATACCATCTCTCAGTGGTTTCGATTTTGTGCTTCTTGCATATCTTACAGCATTGTCGCTGCATTGTTATGTCTGATGGTATATTCATTTTTTGATAGTTCCGGACATCCAGAGATAATATGGTCGATAGTTTCATATTATTATTATTATTATTTTCATCTTTTCCTTTAATTTATGATGTATAGTCATTTCCTTCTGAGAAATATTTTTATAAGAAAAATACAAATAAAACAACCTCTGATCACACACATACATAAAGCCCTTTGTAAAGTGTGAGCTGTAGTCTATTTTTTTGTATTTTTAAGGCATGAACTAACAGGAATCCCATTCAATGGGTCTATCAGAACCTTTTCAAATCAAACTCAGGGCTTCAACCTCAAATGGAATTATTGATGTCTTCATGTGATGAACTTAGAGATCGTTATTTCAAGATCGTTATATTTTGATAGTTTTTTCTTTGAAAATTTTCAGAGATACATTACAGTTTCCAAGAATTTCCGTATCATTAAGAAAACATATTTTGCTTTTGTGGTATTTGTGACCATGTCTGGAAGTTGTTGTTGCTATTATTATTATTATTATTATTATTATTATTATTATTATTATTATTATACATGATGTTTATGTTAGCATAGAAATTACATTTTTGTTATTTCTTTTCTGTTTTTTTCTGTTTTAATTTATTATTATTATTTTTATTTATTTTTTTTGCTATCATCCATAAATATTAGCTGTGGTGTGTTCGCCTGATATTAATATTTCTTTGCGTACTTCATCTCCAACCAGCCGGAGATAGAATTTCATATTAAAAAATCCGGGGCACACCACATTCACCGCCCTGTGTACATTTGACTCATTTCCTTTGCATATGCACAATATCAACATCGTTATTACAATATGAGTTTTCGTTTTTTTCAACGTCACCATTGAAAGTTTCATTAGTACAAAGTTTTTCGTACAATTAACTATAGGGTCTCATGAGAGAATATATCGATGAAATATTGTGTTTTTTGGTTTCAAAAAAGTGCAAGAAATTAATATCAGACTGTATTTTAGTATAAAAAAGACAAGTGTTGACGTGATCTCAAAAAATCTCTTACGGAACGAGAGGCAAATAAATAAATAAATTTAAAATAAATATATTTAGAAAGAAACGTAATTCATTTACATTTAGTTGATTCATTTTCTAGGGCTTATCAAACCTTTTCAGGTTATTTAAAGCCAGAAAATGTTTATATATATATATATATTTAAGCATATCACACCAAGCAAGGCGGGACTGCCACTAGCACTCAAGGGGATACACAGAGTGGGAACAAGAATAAAGAGGCTGTTTGAGGAAAGGATATAGAGACGGACTGAGATCAAGATCAAGGCATCAGAAGATGTCGATTGACATTACACTTAAATATTTGAAGATTGTAGCTATCAGGGATGCAAGTAAGAGAAAAGGATTTCCACTGACAAGCAGTGCGAGAGCAGAAACTGTTGGAGTAGAAGAGACAATGGAAGGGTGGGACCAAGATGCCAATCAAGTCGCACGCTTAAATTCATGCAGTTTGGGAACCAGTGAAAGTACTTCGACAGAGCAGTTACCATATTATTTTAGCGATGATAATAGTTTAGTGATAAAAGTCTTACTAATTAACCCATAACTGGGGAGAAGAGGTGGATTCATATCTTATCAGAATTCGATAATCAAAATAATGAATTATAATGTGAATGTAATATAAAGGATCAATTCTATATTACACTAAACATATAAAATGATCCTTCATTTTGTAGCCACGGTAGTTTTTATATATTTATATTCAAGAGTATCTGGTATTGTCAAACAGTCACCCATCGAGGCACTGAGCAGGATCGACGTTGCTTAAAATTCTTTGATCGTAAGGGAATAACTGTTTCAACATGATGTGGCCGTAAACCGTATTCTTTTATAGAATTCAAACAAATATTTTCATAGTTTTATAATTTTATTTCCGTATTTTCGTTAATTTATAAATCTATTTATCTTAGTCTGTTCAAATCTAGAGATCTACCTCTCTCTATGCATTTCTATCTATCTATCTATCTATCTATCTATCTATCCTGGGTAAGACGTTAAACTACATCCGCATCCTGGTGAAGACGATAAAGTACATCCAGCAGAAAGACCTTTGATCAGGAGGTTTTGAGGAGCGTGGAACCACCTCTTAATTGCTGATGTTCCCAGGTCCACGCTGACCCGGGGTGGTAGCACCCGTTAGGGTCCCAACTATGGGAAAATATTTAACTATTACCAGCAATACTTTTTTGAAACAAATTATTACCAGCAATACATTTTTGAAGGAAAAATATTACCAGAAACAGACTTTTGGCAAAACAAAATATTACCAGCAATAAAATATGTTGTCGGCATTAATATGCTGTAAAACAAAATAAACCAAACCAATCTAAACCCAAGAATACATATTCTATGCATACGAATCTATTCTAAAAATGTTGTTGGCATTAAATAACCCATTGAGGTTGATATGCCGTAAAAAAACAAAAAACAAACCAAACTATCTATCTATGTTTCTTTCTTTCTTTCTTCTAGAGGGAGATGAAAATCCTCGTTCCGAAAAATAAGATCTACTAAAACCATAATTTGGTTAGATTTTGAGAAGTAGGAAACACTCTTGTACGCGTGTCCCGCGCACTGAGACCGCCTCCCCAGACGCATATAAAGAAAAAAGACACCCTCCTGACAAATTGTCACGGTGAGATTCAAACCAGAGTCTCATTCTCATAAAGAACTTTCTAACCAGAAAAGTGGAAAGTGCCTGAAAACCATATTACGGTTTAACCCGAAAGTTGTGAGTAAAATTGGGTAGATGTACTTGTTCGGTAGCGTTCGTGAGTGAGGACATGAGTGTGCTGGCCGTGTGGGGTCAGGGATAAGAATTATCATGCTAAATTATGCGTTATCTCCCAGAAACTGTAACTCAGATTCCCTCGTCATTGTTGCGGCATAAACTACGGGTGGGCTCTGTGCGTTGAGCATTCATTGAACGAGCAGCCAGTACTACTGTCGGTTAAAATTTATAAAAACTTTCTCTTAGAGCAATTTTTCTCAAGTCTAGTAGATGTTATTGCTCTTTCAAGTACTGGTGGAGGTTCTTTCCAACATTTTATTTGAAGTACAGTATAATATCAACATCTTGACCATGTCAGTGTTATCTATTCGAGTTACATGTGCTTTCCATTTTAGTCGTTGCCGCTGTTGAAAGTCCTCAAATGATGTTGTTTCTG